ACGGAGAAAATTATGAAAAAAATTATAACTTAAATTCTCTACGAGAAATATGCGGGAGTCGCACTATAGCTAGGGAGACATATCGACGACGCGTTTAAGGCCAACATCAGGCAAAAAGGGGAGCTGGAAGGGGGAATGTCCGAAAATATCTCTTTGTTCGAGACATTCCTCGATATATTTTATCCGCCTTAAATGGCGGTGTAAGCAAGCAGTGACGTGGTGCGCGATGCAACCGGTTCTCCAAAGCAAAGGGGATCCGCGAACAATGTGGGAGAAATCTTGCGTGCTCGATGACCAAACACGGCCTAAGTCTAACGGGGCACCCTTCGCGGGCTGCTTGCGTGTCTCCCTTTGTGGACGACGCAACGCACGTGCGTGTTCGCGCGTTTACAAGCCGTTCTCTATACGGTCTCGGCGAAACGTAACTGGCAAAGAACGCGTAATACGCCATAAAAGATGCTTTATGATTAAGGTAGTTAGAACATTTCGGTTTGAAGAGGTGCACGGGAAATTAGGGTAGAGCAATAGAGGAGCGCAATTGATCCACTAAATTTTTAAACATTTGATAATTACATATAATACATCCTCAATAATTTAATTAGAGAAATAGAAATAATAACAAAATTTATGTTAAAATTTTTGAAAATTATACTTATTTTTATGTCACTGACAGTTATATTTTTAGTTTAGGAATAAAAATATAATAAATATATTATTTTTCTAGTTTTTATTTATATTATTCTCTAACATCATTCATTTAAACGCTTGTAATCAAGCTAATATTTCAAAAGAAATTGTCTTTTTTTTTTGAAAAATATATATATTTACATATTTGTATAAAAACATTTTTTTGACAGTTACGTGCTTAATTAGTTTAAATGAAAAGAGTTTCTCAGCAGTATTTGGCTTAATTTGTTTTCTTGATATGTATTCCATATAATTTTTTTTTAGTTGGACGACTTGTTTCAACAGATATTTTAATATGTGGTACTGATTAATGTTGTCTCGATGTCTACTTCCGATAATATTATCTTGCCTGCCCCTTTTGATTCATTGACTCGTTTGGTTGTTCCCATAATCATTCTTTGATAATATAATAACAAGTACAGGGATTCAGAAACAAGAAACCGCGATAAGTGAAGGCAAGAACACTTGATCTAATAGTATTCCACTGAATTTTCAAACCTTTGATAATTTAATTACATTTATCATCGGTAACTTAATTAGAGAAATAGTTGTAGAAATAACAACAAAATTATATTAAAAGACCAGAATCTTTATTACCAATAATATCAAAGAAAAATAGAATTAATTGAATAAAGCATTATTTAACATTAAAAAACTAATTTAAATTTAACTTTAATTTTTCTTTTGAACATTATTGGCAATAGTGATTCTTGTTAAAATTTTTAAATTAATATAGGTCAATTCTGCCCAATTCTTTAGTTTCTAATTTCAATAAAACCTATATATGTTTTTAAAACAATATGTTATAAAACATTTTACCCGTAGATTCTACATTACATGGATAGAATTTTACATTCGTCGATTTTTTATACCGGAAAAATTGGCTCTAAAAAGTGTCGTTTCTGTTATATTGCAAATTTTCAATATCATGAATATTTTATGAGAAACTTTTACGAAACAATTTCTCAGCTTATATTTTCTTGGTCCGTTTTTATTGTCAAGCTATAAATATTATTTTATATATACATGCGTCTTGAGAGACAGACAGAAGTGAAACGTCTGAAAGCGGGCAGATTGAATGGGGAAGAAGGATCGAACATCAATCGTTCTAATGACATCCCGCGATTTCAAAGACTCTTTTGTCGAGGACATCGGAGAAAATCGCATTTATTGCTGGTACTTGAAAGATTTTAAGGATGCGCGAAATTGTTCGCGTCATTTGTACTCGGCAATTTTTATCGTACCTTTCACGAAGATGTTCTGTAAATTTATCTATGAGAAATTTCGATATCGAGACAGTTAAAATTCCGCGAAAATGTGAGATAAATTTACTATCATTATCGCAGTTGGATCTTAAGGAGGACACAGCATTTTTATCACATTATTAGAAAATAATTAAAATCTAATTAATTAATTGTTACGGTTTAGCTAAGTAAATTGTTTCGCATGTTTTATCGAGCCCGTCTTATCGAACGTTCGCCAAAAACAGCTATTTATTTTGTTTTCTCTTACCTTCCTTTTCTTCTGTTTTTTTTCGCCGAAAATCGAAACAGCGCAAACGTGAGCTTTTTTATTTCCTGGCACGAATCGGAATTCGTTCCCGACGTGGCGGGCGGCGACCGCGGGCGGCGGTCGGGAACAAGACGCTTCCTTCGTCTGGAGCGATACTTGAGGAACCCCTAAAGATAGCGACACCTCGCCACGTGTCAGCTAACAGACTTCCGAGCGTTTCGTCATCTCGACAGACGTTTTCCGCGAAATTTGCGGCGACTTTAGCACGCCAGTAATCCGCAAAATTACGTTCACGCTACTCCTTATCGCACTTTGGGCAGGAGAAATGCTCATTAAATTAGGAAAATGAGATTGAAGATTAGCAATTTAGGAGAACCAAAAAGAAACGGACTCTCAATGAAAAAGGCTATGAAGATAGAAACACATAATCAAATACATAAAGCTCTCAAGAAACATCTTTAAGAATATATATTGCTAAAAAGTAAATCTCTGAAAACATTTATAAAATAAAGTCTATTAAGGCTAAAACTCTTTTATTCGTGAAATTTTAAATAAACAAGAAACTTTTATCTTTTTGGAAGTAGAAAAAAGTTACAGATAAACAGAAACTTTTATTCTGGTTTGAACAAGTCAAAAGTTCTTTTCTGCTATGCGTCTATCCTGTTTTTAATTCCTTAAATAATATTAATTAAAATAAGTTCTAATTTTTATAATTTACTTTGAAATAAACTTTAAAAAATATATGTTTTTTCAGAACTTTTAAAGATGAACTTTTACAACAACGTTTAAATATTAATGTAAAAATTAACTCAAAACAGAAAGGAAATGATTTAAAAGTTCACAGATAATTTTTATTTATAAAGTTATAAAAGTTATTTATAATGGTTATTTTTTATTCAATCCCTGGTGAAACGGGGTCTATCATTGTTACGGCTTCATATGTTACAAACTCATATCTACACTTCCACACAAGTTTGCACGTATGTTTGCATGTAGTGTTTAGCCAGTACGTTCATGTATAATATTAAACTTACATTTTGCGTAATATGATATATGCTTCGTAAACCCTATATAGTCTTTCCTGATCTCGCGGCCTGTAATTTAACGTTTACGGCCAGGCACGTAACGATCTAGAAAGAATATTTAACCCGGAATAACTATCCATGACACGGCATACGAATGAATGTTTATGGTTTGTGAATTTCCATGGATTTATGATCTTTGCATCTCTCTCTCTTAGCCCTCGCACATTCTGCTCTGAAAACTATCCGCATTTTTCGCATTATTCTACCTACAAGGCTGTTCGACGAAGTCGTGCTTTAGTAACGTTAAGGCCATCAAATTTTCCTTTTGCGAATAAATCAGTTATCGAAAAAATATACCGCGTTAATTGCATTTAAGAATGCATGTTCTTTCAATCTTTCAGTCGATAGAATGATATTGTTGTTCGAGTGAATTAAATTAAAATTCTTCGGTGTTTATTATTCTGCCAGTCTTTTCACTGGACTTCAATATGTTTGTTAAAAAAAGTAATAAAATCAAATTGGCACACAGGTGAAAGGTTAATAAAACAAAATTTTATGAAAACGTTTTGAAAAACATTTTTTTCTTTTGTAGTTTTGAGTGTGTGTTGAATGTTTTCCAACTGGTTGCTACAATTTTTATCCCGACGTGATACGCCGCGCCGGATAAATCGATACGGTTAAGCGTAAATAAGCACTTTGTATTTGCACGCACATCTGCGATACGCGAACACGTGTATATACCTCGGCATTACATAGTGCAGATTTTATCCTCGTTACGGTAACGATCTCGTGTCGCAAAATAATTTTTACTCTGATCCGTTCGCGTTTTCGCGCTCGTTAGCGGCATGTGAAGAGAGAAGAAATGAGCCTTGCACCGTGATTTCTATCAACATGCGACTCGATAAATCGTCGTACCAGCTAACGAATCAATCGTGAAAGAGAGAGAATTATATCATTCCATAATAATCGGCGCCGCATGCGCGATCTGATAATGCATACTTGCTGAACCTGCATTTCTCATTAGATCGGTCGGCAGGGCAGGTAATCACGGTAATGTGCATAAATTAACAGCCCGCCGCACGGGAACGTAGAGGTAAATTTGCGAGCTAACGTCCTACGTAGGTTAAATTTCACTTCTCAATGCGGCGTATATTAGATTTCGTTACCGGCTTTGAATTACGAACATTTCTTGACAAAAAAGAATAGTGTTTCGTTGTTTTTATTATCGACACGATTTCAACGACTGTCTGATGAATAATACATAAATTTTATATAAGTATAAGAAGCTTTGCAAAGATTATTTAAAGAAACTTTTGAAAGGATTAGAAAAATGTCTTATATGAGAAACTTTACTGTCTGTTTCAACACAGTATTATTTGTTTCAAATCATTTTCCAAGGAAGTATTTTATTTAAAAAATATTACCGAGTGAACATGCTATGCTATGTTTTGTTATGAAGAAAGAACAAAATTTTTATAACAGAACATGAACATATAGCATGTTCATTCGGTAAAATTCTGAAATTCTTTAAATGAAATACTTTCTTGGAAAATAATTAGAAACAAATAATACTATGTTGAATAGTTAAAACAGGCAACAAAGTTTCTTATATGATATTTTTCTTTGAAAGTATTAGCACCACTGTTTTGTTTTTCTTAAAAAAGTAATGCTTTCAAACATTTGAATGGCAGTGTGTATCTAATTTTACTCTCATATATGAATTCTATTTAAATTCTATTTAATAATATTGTTATATCTATTTTTTTTCTGTTGCAGCAAAATTATCTCATGAGATTCGGTTACTTACCTCAGACCGATTTCGAGACTGGAAATCTGCGGACGGAGGACCAACTCAGGGATGCTATCAAAAATTTGCAGGTAAGCAAAAATTATGATATAAAGAGAGATAAGATTTCATCGTCCCGCAAGAAACAAATGAGGGACCATGTAGTAATTTAATATCTTCAGTTTTATTATTTCGAACATAAAACACCTCTTGTCTACGTTTTGCAAATAATTTTCTATGCAATTTGCGTGTATAATCTTAGAACTTTAATCGAGACATTAATTCTACTTTTAAACAAAATTTAATTGCGCACCAGCGTCTTGCAATTTGGTTTAGATTAATTATTCTCGCTGCAATTTACGTAATACTTCGAAGTAACATGAGAATTATTAGAAAGGGTTTCATTGTGAGATTACCGGAGTGAAGTTTTCTTTATTCCACAAACGTATTTATCTCGAAAATGCGATCGACCGATTCTCCGGAAGCTGTCGCGAAATCGATGTCGGGAATATCCCGTTGAAAGAAATAGGAAAATGGAGCAAATATCCTGAGGGATTTCGTCAAATGCCGCTATATATCCTCCATCCTCCTTATTCTCGATTCTCATGTAAATCTTCATTGAGCGAGCGACATTTTACTATTCTTCCCTCGCAAAATGTCTGCATTCCTATAACCATTGTCTGAAAGCAGCCAGGCTCTCCGAGTGGATTGCTGATCGAAGGGATCAAACTCAAACGCGAAATGAAACGTATCGGAATGCTTCGGACATTCTAATCTCAGGTCTGAAGCTTAGGTTCAGATTCCTTCATCCGTATAGACTACGTCTCTCGATGGTTTTATCGATAATCGCGTTTGTCAGATTCCGGACGCGTTTCTGGTTGAAATGCTCGAAAGCGTTTATCGCTGTTCAAAAAGATAAAAACGGATCTTCTCAGATTGAAGGAAGCGATTTTACTTCAGGAAAATCCTAAAGGGAACTCTTGAGATATCGAGTAGAACAGTGAAATATAGATTTGTTGATTATTTTACTTCGACTTTTGTAAAGAGAGTGTTATATTTAAGGTTGTATGACCCCTTAGAAGAAAAAATGCCAAATTCTTCAAACTTTGTCAGGTGATGAGTATTATAATAATAAAGCATTGTGCCAAGTTTGAACAAGTTTGCGAGGCCCGTTCAAAAGTTATAACAATTTGAATTTAACATGGGCTCTTATGGGAATTCATCAAGTTTCACTGTTTTTTCAACTTCATTTGAGAAATTAATATCGAAGAAAATATGGCATCCTTTTAAAACTTTGCAGAAATATTAATAAACATCTTACAAACAAATTAGAACAAAAAAAATTATAACTTCGAGGATATTTTTTGAAATATTAAATAAAAACCAAACAGAGAACAGTCTCGCTTGGTCTCGCTGAACTCGTAAGTACAGAGATCCGGCAACAGCGCACTATGACGTCACATTAGAACCTCTCTCTCCGTCACTCTCCGTAAAAGATAACAAATACTACAGAGGTCCGTTACTTTTAGAGCCTCCTGTGTATCGAAAGTGTGCTCTGAGCACGTGTAATATACAGACGCATCGTTTGAGGTTAGTTTTCGCTTGCGCTACGAAAATGCCGAAAGTAAAACGTTACATGTGGAAAGGAAAAGTTGTCACTGAAAAAGTGTACAATCAACGGTTAGCACAGACAAATACTGGGAAACGTAATTTGAAGACACGAGTCGAAACCACACCAGATGATTGTAACAATTCCATGGCACATGTAACGTTTTACTTTTGGCATTTTCGTAGCGCAAGCGAAAACTAACCTCAAACGTTGCGTCTGTATATTACACGTGCTCAGAGCACACACATCGCGTTCACGCAGCTGATGTCGAGTGAGATCAATGCTACCAACTTACAGAAAATGCGACGTTGTTGCGATCAAAATACTTTTTTATGAGAGCTATTGTATTTAATTTATTAATAAATGACGTAAATAAATAACGTAATATAATTTCATTAGTATTTTTAAACAGTAATTACTATGTTTTGTTACTTTATAAAGATTTTCACACTTTCAGATTTTCGTTTGTGTCAGTTGCAAGTCAGGTACAGTCTTTCTAAAAATCATTAAAAGTGAAAGTTTGCATACGAGAAAATATGCATAAAAATGTTTCTATAGCTCTTAAAAACACAGGCAACCGTTATTTTAATAAAATATTAATATAAATATTACTTTCCAGTAAAGAATATCTTCTTAAATATGTTAATTAGCTTTATGTTACGTTTCTTAAACTTTTGGCAGAGATCTTACGGGTCATACAACCTTAAAAAAACTTACAATTATATGTAGATATAAGTTTTTACAAATAAAAAGAATACAAATATATTAAATCTTTAATACATATATTTTTATACATATTCTTTTGATTTACTGTAATTTTATAGAAAATAGAGAGCTATTTTTTTTATAAAAAAGAGTGGTTGATATTGTTGCAATAATTATTTTTAAACTTCTTAGTATTTTTCGTTTTTTTTTTTTCGATATTGATTACAAATAATATGCAAAATGAATTCAGTTTTCGATATTTCTTTTTGGATATTTTAAATTAAAACAAAATTTTATTTTTGTGCTGATTATGCTAAATTTTGATGACCCGTGTATGTTTCTAATTTTCAGAAATTCGGTGGTATTCGCGTGACGGGGGAGATCGACGAGGCGACAAAGAAGTTAATGAAGGCCAGGAGATGCGGATTACCGGATCAGCTCGACGCCAGATTCGCCAGGACGAGGCATAAGCGGTTCACCATTCACGGACAACAATGGCCGTATCGAAATCTCACCTGGAGGTAAGTAAACTTTATTAGTATAATAATCATAATAGAGTAGGGTATTATTGCGAGATACGACACAAACCAGATATTTTGAACACGATAATATTCAAGAAAAATACTATTATCTTTTTAAATATATTAATTACAGCAATAAATTGAAAAATCGTGGATTTAATGTTTCTATAAAGAATGTTGAAATAATGCTATCATAAAGAATAGCCAGTTTATCTCTCAACATTAATAAACAAATTTTTATTGTATCTATATGAATGTGAACTTGAAAATTTTTTACCGCTTCTGAAAATGTTTAATTTTTTTCCATTATCTAATTATAATCATATTCTTACGATTAACTTGGAAAATTTTTCAAAATCTTGATTTCTGTCATAAAAATCCTTGTCTCAATTCTTGTTTGTGAAAATCGGAAAGACGGAAACAAAGTTGTGTAATTTACCTCCGGTTGAAGATCGTTACCCAAGAATCCGTATAATTTCGTCGACGAGGACGCACTTGGAGCGAGTTGCAAGTCACGCGTTGCCGAGATGCGACCATGCGGTTTTTCGCGCGGTGACGGCGAAAAGCCGTGGACGGATTTATTCGCGGCGCGGCTCGTACCTCGGCGAGGAACGATAATAATACCCCCGTGCGCGCATCTCGACGCGACGATAACTCATCTGTGTTGAGGTACCTGTTGGTCTGAGTCGTGAGCTCTAAACAGGATGTCTGGCCCCTTAATTGCGGGCTTTCTCGTGGCGGGACCTCGCCCCGCATTAACGGCACTAACCCGACTCGGAAATGCCATTGACATTGTTGGTATCCGGCCAACTGGCGAATCTTCTTAGACCCCTCTCGCGTATATAATTGTAGAACGACGAAAATGCATGCACAAGCATTTTCTCGAGAGAAGATTAAAAACGCTTCAGCACGTCAAGGCAGTATTTACACGCTCCTCTTGACACGCGACTCTGATGTTATTAGAACCATGTTGCTAACTTTAATACTTGAGTCTTCGAAAATATATATCTTTTATTTTTAATATATAATGCTTTCTTTGTTCAATTTTTTAAAATAAAATACGTTTTCTCGGAAGTTTTGTACAACCTACGCGAAATATGCTCTATTCATTTCGGCAAATATTTGGTATTATTAATATTTCAGTGCCATGACGTTTTCGAAAAAAAATAGATATACAAAAATAAAATATATAATACTCTAACTTTCTTCTAATTTGTAAATATACATAGAATTAGATATTGAAAAATTTGAGACAGAAACCAAACGTCACGTATGTTCGCGTGGTAATTTAATAAGTACGGTGCTAATTGATTAATTTTTTATAGTATATTATTTAGTAGAAATTGAACGAATGTGCATTGAATACGTTCAACGATAAAACAGATCTCTGTTGACGAATCATGTCGGTACCATAGAGAACTAACGGATTCGCGTTGATATGAAGAACAGCTGCAGTATCGGCTCTTTCCCAGTGTATCATGTGGCACCCTCTGGCAATTAATCAATAGGCATGATTTTATCGATTTATAATTAAAACGCATTAATTTAAAAAATTGCATTATAAAATAATTCGTATCGTATTTATTGTGTCGTTATTCCGACATTTTATTTTTATTCTTACACACAGGACTTTTTATAATATACACTATAATTTTTCTCTATTTTAATATAAAAAACAGTAGCTCGTTTAGCTACTGTTGCTGGTATTATTTTTCGGTAATTATATGTTTTTAAGTAATTATGTAGAAAAGTCGAAATAATGTAGAAAAGATTTAAGGATACAATTTCAAATTATGACAATACGTATATGTATACGTTATTACAATTAACACAAATTGCATTTATGCTATGCTTGTTTATGTCAATATATCTTTACTTTTTTTTGTATTTATGTATCGGTTTGCAAGCTCGTATAATTTCTAATTTTCTAAATATTTTAAACATTTGATAAACATTAAAATATATGCCTGGCAGAAAGAAAAACGTATCATCAACTGACAAACAAAATACGTTGAAATCGAATCGAAAAACATTGATTTTTTACAATTCGTAATCTGTTATTGCTATTATTATTGTTAATTGATTGTACATTGCTCGAAGTACGTTTACGTCTAATCGAGTTGCTCTTCGTGACTGTTGCCGTTTTGTACGATATTTAGCACGGCCACTAATATCCGCGTATGCTAATTAGCGCAACCCTACGGTAAGGTTCTTGAATCCGCGTTAATTAGCCACCTTAACGAACCGGCTGGCACAGAGAAAAATCTGCGCGTAAAAAAACATCCTCTCTAATTTTCACTCTCCCCGGAAAGCTCCACAGTAACCGAACCTGAATTAAAGTGCGTGCCGACATGGATTGGACAGATTGAGCAATTAACTTCGTTATCCGGTTATCATGCTACGATTCCCTCGCGAATTCAATGAATCTTGCAAAAAGGCCAGATTCGGAACAACCGGTCTCTTTGTGTACGATTTCGATCGGCCGGGGTAAATTTGGCAGATTTTCGCGTGCACCGAAAATGAGGGTTCGTTTGTCTTTCTAACTGGACTCTATTTGTTCCTCTCGGTGCGCGTGACGTCAAAAGAGGATACGAGGTTTTTGCAGAGAGAGGCTCTCTGTGAGACTTTATATACATTTAGAAAGTGCAATTTTACATTAATAATTCGTATTTTTTTTATTTTTATTTTTTTTTTAAGAATGAGAAATAGTAGTGTAAATAGAAAAAGGGAGAGAAATGTCAACGATATGAATTCTTTTATAAGTTTTAATTGGATGTGTTTTATAATCTATTTTGCGGTTTGCCTTGAAAATTCTACTCTCATGATTACGATTCTATGTAATAAAAATATATTTATATCCTGTCGTTTCTTTATAGAAGGTATTCTGGTATAACAGGTAAAAAAAGTCGATTTTCTAGACAGCTAGAATCATTTACACCTTCTATATGCGTTTTTTTTGCGAGCTACTATATAGTGAGCACGATATAACATAAAAAAGAGGAACATTTTTGTTATTTAGAATAGAAAATAAAAATATAATATTTCTTAAAATATATTTCTTAAAATAAAATTAAAAGAACATGCTAAAGTTTAATGTTATATTTGCGTTTTTTATTTCCTTACAAAAAAGTTCCTGAAAAATATCTTTTTTATGACCTTTCAAACCGGGATACCCCCTTAAGGATGTTCTGGCTATACATTCCTGCCAAAAGTTAGTTTTTAATAAAAAATTACTAAAATGAAGACTTTGCATGTATGTCAAACAACTCAAAATTTTTTATATGTTAGAAAGAATTACTGTTAACAGTTTGAGTATGGTTTTTTGTCATTTAAATAATTAGTATTGTTTAAACAATGAAAAAATAAAAAAATTTTAACAAAAAGTTTTGAAACTTAAAATACAAGATTAATGATGTAGGTATGTTTTACATATAAAAAAAGTTTTATAAATATCTCACTGTTTTTATTTATATTTACCGCAAAAATGTCGATTCTCCATAATGTTAATTTCATCAATTTTAAACTTAAATAACTCTTAAATTGTTTAGTAAATTACTTACAGAGTATTTTTAATTTAATTTAAAAGAAACATCTCAAAATTTCAGCTATTTCAACTCAGGAACCGTTTAGTGGATTTATTTCAATTTTTTTGCAGCACATTAGGAAGACTGAAAGAACAATCTCACAAATTTTTATCGACTTCTTACTGTTTTGAAGATATAGCCAGAACATCCTTAAGCATAATAATTATTTTTACGATTAGATAAAATTATAATTTTTTTCTCATTTGCGATTAAGTGCTGTGCAATTTTAAATGTGGGTTAAAAACTGAAATAGAGACGGGCATCGCGTCTTAATGGCTAGTATGGGGTAAGAAATTAACGCCGACAGCACTTCTGCTAATTTTCCCTCGGTCTTCCGAACGAGTATAGCTATCGTTTGTCGAAATTAACGATGTCTCTGGAGCTTCGAACGTAAATTTTATGAGCTATTATTTCCATGAATTCCGTTTTCCTGTTCTAAATTTTATTTAAGTAAAGAATATCAATAAATTAAATTCAAAAGAGATTTTTAATATTCATATACAAATCGTCGAGTTGCGAGAAAGATGCTTAATAATTTTCTTTAGAAACCATCAAATATTGTTAATATTTTCTTAACAAAAAAATGTTTTCAATGAATATCGTTATTATATCACGTTTGAAAAAAGTTGCTTTTTTTATACATAAAATGTATATAAAATATTGAAAATTTTACAATGTTATACTTTTTAAAAGTCGAATAGTGAAATATCGAAACGAGTGAAATGCAAATGTAACAAAAAGTAAAAATTGAGCTTGTGCACTTCGAGTGATTTGCCACTCTAAGAAAGAGTAAAATTGCGCTTTATAAGTTGGAGTGAAAGAGCACTCTTTTCGAGTACAGTAGATCAGCGTCTATACAGGAATGAATTATGTCATTCTACAATTTTGAGTGAAAAAGTCGATTTTTAGTGATTAACTGTAGCTTTAGAGTGAAATTATATCACTCCGGTAGAGTAACCGTCCTAAAAATTTAAGTGAAAAATTCACTTCTACCTTATGAGTGCCCGTATTTACTCAAATTAGAGTGACAACCCTCTCTTTTGAAGCAACTATCGCAATCACTCTAATATATTAGTGGTGAAACCACTCTATGTGATTTAGAGAGTATAGCATTTCGAAATTGGTAATTGTCAGCGACGATTATTTGCAAACATTTTATACACCGCGAGCTTACGCGATATCGATATCGTGATACGGGTATATACGGCTGTAATACGAGAATTTGTATTTGGTTCACTGGACAGAATGGGGGATATGTAGTATTGGCTTAAGACCTGTCACTGTTTACGGGACTGAATGTTTCTACGGTTGACTACGTGATCCCCGGAAGGATAGTAGCCTAGGATTCGTTGCCGTTTTGCGCGATGGTTTGTACAGTCAACTGGACTTTGAGGAGATAAAGTCGAATCCCCGATG